ATATATTGTATGGGAAATGAGAAGTGTGCTGTACTGCTCTGTGGGTAGTTATGTGTTAATTAGTATGTGACGCGTTTCGTAATAATGAGAAAAACAGCGCAGACAACCTCAATGACGCTGTGGCTTTAAGCTTGGCAATACGTCTACTCTCAACATAATCCGAACTATTCCCTAAGTCGTATTGTGAAGGTACCGAACTTGAATTTCACTATTTAGTTATAGTTTATATGTAAATAAGAGATGTTCTGTTTGGTCAAGTGGTTGGCTCTGTATGTAGAACATGTGCTGTTTAGGACATATCTGTGAGTGTTGATGTGTTGACACCCTGTCAATTATCTTGTGACATATAGGTAACCCATACACTGTCCCACAATGAACCGCATGACATCTATCGCATTTCGTCATAATGCCAGTGTCCTGTAGATAGCTTGCTTTCTACCCACCGCCGAGTGGATCAGAGCTCACATATGGACGCACACAAGATGGGCTGTTAGCCGACGAATCCGATACCTACATTCTAATCCCTAAACTCTAAAACTAGTTTCTAGAACCCTCAACCCTAAAACATATAATACCTATCGCTTATCACCACAGCCCAGTAGACAGAGCGCACATACGGATGCAGATAGGCACACAGACACAGGCAAGGAAGACTTCAATGTGGACACGCTCAACAACACGGCCACTGTCTTTGCAAGACATCAGGTATAGACACCGGATCATCCCTAATTTGGGAAATGAAATTCAATGGTTGATTGTCCTGATATTGGAGAAGAGGGTTGAAACACTCAATAGGGCGTTCGAACATTAATTATTGAATATTGATATAGTTCATCGAATAGGGAAGTGTTCGAAATGGTCTGATTGCGGATAGCAGCACGGCTGTTCTTGGGCTAAAACAACCGTTCCAAACTCAGGTCTCACTATGATAGGAAGTCCACCCCCAAAAAGTTGAAATTGCCCCACCTATAGTTAGGGATAAAACCATTCGCTAAAGGACTTTCCTAGACTCAAAATAATTACTCAATGGACAATATTTCTCAAAGCTACTCTCTTTACCATACCTACATGGTTGTTCTTTTTTGGCAGAGTATGTTCACTTGATATTTCTCCTATTCACTATTTAATTCACGTACATGTCTGTTCAAAAGCCTATCCACTCTCTTTACTCTTCTGTTCTATTTTTGGCGGAGTAAGTCTAACCACTCTCTTTACTTTTCTGTTCTATTTTTGGCAGAGTAAGTCTACCATTGGCAGTGGTGTGTCGGAGGGACTGGTCATTGAAGATGATGATGACGATGTCTTTGGCAGTGCTTTTGATCTCAAAGGTGTTGACAATCTCGCCGGGCGGCTCAGCAGACAAATGAGTGTGAACAGGTACGGTGGGCATGGCTGGAGGGGTTCTGAGTTCTGGGATGTAGGGTTTAGGGATGTAAGATTTAGGGTTGTAGGTTTTAAGGTTGTAATTTGTAGGGTGGTAGGGTTTTATTCGAGGGCATACATTCTTACAGAAAAATGTGTTTAGGGTTGTAGAATTTTTGTTTCAAGGTATTTATTCTTATTATTACGGATTTAGGGCTGTAAGGTTATGCCAATGCTTTTGGTCTCAATTGTGTTGACAATCTAGCTGGACGACTCACCAGACAGGAAATGTGACCGAAGTCGGTTGTAGGGTTTAGAATTTACTTGAAAACGGGTGCAAGTATATAGGGTTGGGATTTAGGGTTTAGGGTTTAAATTAGGACTGGCTGTATATTCCAGCTCAGTCCAAAATGGTTGTCCCTCAGATGTTGACGATGTCCTTTCATTCAAAATTATATTCTGTGCTCACACGTGGATGAGGCGTCCAATGTCATATCTCATTTAAAATGGGTTAAAGGGTTTTTTAGGCCCTAAACCCTGAACCTAAAAACCCCTTTTGGATATGACAACTCGGAAGGGGAGTCAATAACACGGGCAGGTGCAATGGTTACTGTTGAGGATGTTTTTTTTTGAGCGAACACAGAGCAGTTCGGTAGTTAATCCCGGCGGTCAAGTTTATTCATGAATATACATTTAGATAGCACTAAAACCCATGGAAGGCAAACAGAGAGCGCACCGACACACGCATCCGGACAAACAAACCCAAGTATTCAGTATTTTGTTTTGAAACCAGCTTAAACCCAATCCGAATCCTCCAATATTTACACCATATTTGGGTTTCAGGAGCACTTTGGCACACTCGCCACACAAAGACAAACCCAAACGAGGCCACTCGCACAGTCTGTCCCATGCACAGGACCTCGCGCCACAGAAAAAGGACCACAATGCACCCGTTAAGTCTGGTATGTGCATGTAATACCTTACTTGTATACTCAAATATGTGTTTTTAATGGGTTTGTTTGATGGCAATCTCAAGCAGATTTCCACTTTTCTAACCCTATTTTTGTACATTTTGTTCTTATTTTTGAAATTGGGTACATGTAGGTACAATTTCGGGGCCATCGCCGAATGGGCGGAGTGCGTACCGCACAGAGCGACAGCCAACCAGAAACGGCCATCGGCGACAGCACTCACACACCCAACAGCCGTCACCAGACACCATAGACGAATGGGCCAGAGACGACGGGGAGTACATGCACACACCACACACACAACACACACCACACGCACCACAAACACCACACGCACCACACACACCACACACACAAAACACACCCCAGACATATAACGCACAACATACATCCCAGGCATATAACACACAACACACAGCACACAAGCCTTATACGACCCACTCGCACGGGACTACGTCACGGCCGAATGTACCGAACTATAACAAACACAGAGACTCAAATGGACAGAACTACAACAAACACAGAGACTCGGGGCGAGACAGCCGATCCAGCAACGGCAGCACAGCCAGCTACGACACGCACGGGCCACACAGACACTCACTCACCAACCCACACACACACACACACACGCATACGCCAGATGTACGTGTGCCTGTGCGAGAAGGAAGTGCACACACCCACACCCCGAACACGCACGAGCCGCGTATGAGCTCACGGGACAGTCACGGTGCTCTGAGTAACTCGTCGGGTGTGTCTGTGCCCACGCATTCCTTGCAGGGAAGGTCCTCTGCTGCAACAAGTGTGGTGTCGTTACAGCAGGTGAAGCGGAACGAGAGCCACGCGCATACCTACACGCACACACAGGCGCACATGGAGAGAGATGAGGGTAACACGCACACACACATGCACACACACATGCATAGCCCAGGGCACACACCCACAGCCGCCAGTCGGTCTGTGCGAGCACTCGAAGCCAAGGACGGCGATCAAAGTACCAACAAACCCCTAAACTCTAAAGACCAAGGTAATGCACGGTCACGAGCAGCCAGTCAGAAAAGTCGATCCAGTCTCAGGTAGGTAGAAAGAGAGGAGATCTGGACCAAATAAGGAAGTGACAGCGCAAGGGGATGTGGTCGATGTATGGGGTGGCATGGGTTATATGTGGTATACGGAATGCTTGCTGATGTGCTACAGTGGAAGGTGTATCATGTTTTGAAGAGGGGTTTATAGATAGGTATGTTCTTGTTATGTGCGTGTGTGTGATCATGGTGTCTGGAGTTGTCTGGATTGTTAGGCGGGATTTGAATTGGAATATACGTCCAACTAAATCCTTCCAAACGTTAAACCCTATGCAGATCTTTAGAGATGCAGTCCAACGCTGTGGCACAAGCACAAGCCCTCAAAGAGGTGCTAAAAATAGATTCCAACGATGTTCTAAAAATAGAATCCAGTTCAAACGATGAGTTAGAGGGTATTGATCTCAGCGGCCTCGATGTCAGTACATTAAATCATCGTCGCGCGACAACAGGCGTCAATAAGAGGGTGAGTATATGTGTGCGTGTATGTGTGTGTGTGTATTTGTGCCTGTCGATGTACGTGAACGCATATATATAAATATATACGTATATATACATATACTTATACGTATATATATATATATTGATATACATATATATATAATAAAAATACGTTTATGTGTGCATATGTGTTTCTATTAATATCCCTATGTTTAATCCACGTTTACATTATACCCGCCAGAATTCTCGGTCAGCCGAGAGCACACTAAATCAGTCGCAGACATCCACTCCGTCCAACTGGAGTGAGAAACCTAGCCCCAAAACCAGACCCGTATCTGTGAATAGTTTTACCCGGCCTGCTTTGGTGTCTGTTGATGGCTTGGGTATGGGCTCACCACGTATGCCGTCGGGTATGTCGGGAAGCACAGGAAGGTCGACGTCTATAAATAGATCGCGTTCCACCAATAGAAACCGTTCTATGAATAGATCGCGGTCAATAAATAAGTCCCACATTGTCAGTCTACCCGCGCCGAAGGAGAACAATGACCCATCGCTCGACGTGTTCGGTGACACCAGCGATGACCATAAAAGTAGCGACGATGATTTTGGCGCGGCTTTTTCTGGAAGCATCAACGTCAACAAACTCGAGGTGAGTATTGGGACAACCCTAAACCCTAGAATTCCTACAACAACCTGCTATGACTTGAGTATGTGATCCGATTGCATGCTTGTGTGTACGAGAGGACGGAGTGTGACTTTGGGTGCCATAGTGTGTCTTTTCCATGTACAAGCATTCATTGTGAGATATCATGCCTTGGTTAACTGACAATACTATCACCTTTTTGATATGGGTATCAGCACACATATATATATGGTTATATATGTATATGTATATGTATATACAGGTATATACGTATATATGTATGTATGTATGTATTTATGTATATACATGTGCATATATATATGTATATACATATATATATATATATATATGTGTGTGTGTGTGTGTGTGTTTATACGTGCAAATGTATATGTATATGTACATGTACATATATATATACATGTATATGTACATGAACATGTACACGTCTATATTTATATGTCTATATGTGTATTTCTATATGTTTATGTTTATATATATATACATATATATATATGTATTTGTATATGTATATGTATGTATGTGTATATGTATATTTATATGTATATGTATATGTATATGTATATGCATATGCATATGTATATATATATATATATATTTATATATATAAATATAAATATATATGTATGTATATATATATATATATATA